GAAAGTAAACAGCGCAAACGCTCATTCAAAAATATTTAAATACACCGCATCCTGAGAGTGGACACGAAAAATGCAGGAGCGAAACACATGTTGCGGGAGCAGGCGGCAATGGTCAGAGATTCAGCGGGAGCGGGATTAAGAAAACAGCCGAATCCCGGGGAAATGGACATGTCCGGCGAAAAGAGGACGTATGGTCACCCTAATTTATAATCTATTGCTAATTGATGTATTCTTTTTAAAATAGCCTATGGAACATATTTTCTGCCTCATTCTGTGACAAGAAGCCTCATCGGATCACAAAAGGAAGCATTTGACTGGTGTTGTGGAGTAAAAAGGTTATAATTGATGCTCTCATTTCCCGAGTTCTGCTTTTAAGTCGGAATGTGAAAACAACATGGACACTCTCGTTACTACAAAGATGTGTTGGATGTGTATTATTAGAGCTTTCCGACTTGAGTTCACGTGCATTTTCTCAGTCGGGAAATTATTTTTCACATGCGGTGCCAGTGATGATACTTCTTACGTCCGTTTCGGAGAACCAGAGGACAAATATTTCAATCGATCGCTCAGGCATGGCACCGAAATGAGGCATCGAAATCTGCGTTCTGATTCGGTTCTAGTACATACGGGTTACATAGGTACCGGTGCCATATTGGTACTGGGTTTCAGTACCCAACCCTACTTCCGATCGAGTCATAAAATGTGATTCTGGGCTGATACTGTATCTATCTGTATTTATGTTCTACTGTTAAGTGTTATCTGTATGCACCAAGGGTCTGAGAGTAACGCAATTTCAATTCTCTGTGTGTATGTGCTGTACATGTGGAAGAATTGACAATAAAGCAGACTTGACTTGACTTGATACCGATCGATCGGAGCATCCCTAGTTTGTTCTGTGTTTGTACCTTTTTGATCCTCTTGCAGGGACACTTGAGCTTCACTCGCTGACTGCAGCTCTGATCGCACTCATCCGGGTGACACAGCAGCTTACAGCGGTGCCCACATCCCAACTGCACATTATCCATACAACCAATTAACATATGCCTTTAACAGCTACTGCATCCGTTCTGAACGCAGCCGCATCCCAACATTAAAACACTGTTAGCTTTGCACAGAACTAACACTACAAATCATTCCTAGTCTGAATGTTTTAACACACAAGCACTCGTCTCACAGAATGACACACAAACACACACGATCGAGTGTTGCAGCACCTGTTTTGGACACTGATTCTGACAGGAGCTCAGCAGGTGTTTGCCCTGTTCATCCGCAGACGTGAACTTCCTACAAAACACACACACACACACACACACACACACACACACACAAACATTCATCAATGAACATATTAAAGCGAAAGTTCACCCAAAAATGTAAATTACCCCATGATTTACTCACCCTCAAGTCATCCTAGGTGTATATAACTTTCTTCTTTCAGACAAATACAATCGGAGTTATATAAAAAAAATGTCCAGGCTAATCCATGCTTTATAATGGCAGTGAATGGTAGCCCAAAATTTGAAGTCCAAAAAATGGCACCCATCCATTATAAAAAGTGCCTCACATGGCTCTGGGGGGGGTGAATAAAGGCCTTCTGAAGTGAAGCGATGCATTTGTGTAAGAAAAATATCCATATTTACAACTTTATAAACCTTAATCTCTAGCTTCCGCTAACTGTCGAACGCGAGTTCACGAGAGAGTGGTGTCCAGCGGATGATGTAAGATGCAGGCAAACGTGGTGACGAACGTGAAGAAAGTGACGAACGTGGAAGTGACGAACGTGGAAGGGCAGAGGAGAGAGCGAAACAAAACCCCGGTCACAAATTAGTAGTATAAAACGAGGATTTGTAAAGAAAAATGTCAGACGATTTCGATATAAGTCAAGAGGACACTGGTTTTCCTTTGCTGTAAACAAAACTTGTTTCTCGCGAGTCTAGCATATTCTCACCGGAGTTTACGCTAAGCCTACGTCCTACATCATCCGCTGGACGCCACTCTCTCGTGAACACGCATAAGACAGTTAGCGGATGCTAGAGATTAAGGTTTATAAAGTTGTAAATATGGATATTTTTCTTACAAAATGTTCTTATTTTTCTTATTAACCCCCTGGAGCCATGTGGACTTCTTTTATAATGGATGGGTGCAATTTTTTGGACTTCAAATTTTGGGCTACCATTCACTCCCATTATAAAGCATGGAATTTTTCTTACAAAATGTTCTTATTTTTCTTATTAACCCCCTGGAGCCATGTGGACTTCTTTTATAATGGATGGGTGCAATTTTTTGGACTTCAAATTTTGGGCTACCATTCACTCCCATTATAAAGCATGGATTAGCCTAGACATTATTTAATATGACTCTGATTTTATTCGTCTGAAAGAAGAATGTCATATACACCTAGGATGGCTTGAGGGTGAGTAAATCATGGGGTAATTTTCATTTTTGGGTGAACTATCCCTTTAAATAAGCGATATTATCAAGAACAGCTTTTCAAATACGGCCAACAACTGAAAGCTGCAGAAGAGTCCAGCGTGTCACTCACACACACTCGATGTACAGGCTGGAGATCTTACAGTGGCAGCGCTGACGGACCATCAGCCGACAGGGAGGGCAGTTACCATGGTGACAGGGCAGTGCACACGGGTGGGTACAGCCGACGGGACGGGGCTTTGAACAGACCTCCTCACACTGCTCACACTCCTGACTGGCCTACACACACACACAGATGGAAACAGAAAACAAACAGAAAGCCAGTCACTGTGAGGACAGAGCTCATGGCAACAGGGTCAGAGGGTCATGTGACCTACCTTAGTTTTGTCTGAGTTTGGCACAGCGGTCACATGATGGCACTCCAAACTGCAGCTATGATTCCCACACGCTAAAGTCCGTCCACATGACCGGCCGCAGGAGAACGGCCCACGAGTGTGACATGGAACCGGACTCACCTTCAACACACACACAAACAACGCTCTAGATGAGACTGAAATGATTCAGAGTAATTTTATTTTACTATAATCATATATATATGTTATATAACTAATACTAGACTAACTAAATGTTTCTCAAGCCTATTGAAGAACAGAAACAAATGACATGCAAAAGGACATCAATAATGCAAAGTAATCAAATGTAAAATAAGACATTGCATGAATGACATACAGTGATTGTTATTAAAGCTGCTAAAGTGATTGAGTGATGTGAGTGATTTTCTCTCTGTCTTGTGTTGTTTGATGAACATTAATGACACAGGCAGTAGCAGATTATTAGGCTGCTGTCACTTTAAGACCTGATGAACAGATCCAATTTGCTGACACATCTGATTTCTTTCTCAACTCTTAAAATCACAGTAAGTCAGCTGCATCTCAATCGATCGTCATACTACCTCTTACTTATCTGACTGTCACCAATTCGTAGCAGTAAATGACAAGATATCATATCATTCACAAGTACAGTATGGAGTGCCACAAGGCTCAGTACTAGGACCGTTGCTTTTCACACTTTACATGTTACCCTTGGGAGATATCATCAGGAAACACGGTGTTAGCTTTCACTGTTATGCTGATGATACTCAGCTCTATATTTCTTGGGGGCCCGATGAAACATACACATTTGCAAAACTAACGGAATGCAGTCGATATAAAAAACTGGATGACTAGTAATTTCCTACTGCTAAATTCTGAAAAAACAAAGGTGTTAATTATTGGGACATATAACCTCCGCATGTAATAACCTAGAACACTGTCTAAGACTTGATGGCTGCTCTGTCAATTCTTCTTCAGTTAGGAACCTAGGTGTGCTATTTGATAGCAATCTTTCCTTCAAAAGCCACGTTTCTAGCATTTATAAAACTGCATTTTTCCATCTCAAAAATATATCTAAATTACGACCTATGCTCTCAATGTCAAATGCAGAAATGTTAATCCATGCGTTTATGACCTCAAGGTTAGATTATTGTAATGCTTTATTGGGTGGTTGTTCTGCACGCTTAATAAACAAACTCCAGCGGGTCCAAAATGCAGCAGCTAGAGTTCTTACTAGAACCAGGAAGTATGACCATATTAGCCCGGTTCTGTCAACACTGCACTGGCTACCTATTAAACATCGTACAGATTTTAAAATCTTGCTTATTACTTATAAAGCCCTGAATGGTTTAGCACCTCAGTATTTGAATGAGCTCTT